TGTTAAATTGTTAAGTGTACTGAGAAAGTTGTTTGGCAAAATTCTGATTGAAAGGATATGAGAGACAGCAGTGAGCAAAATTTGGAAAGTGCAGCACAGCTTTCTGCTGTGCAGAAAGTGTGCAAACCAGATTTTTGTTCTTTAGGATATTGAGAAATGTATGAATATGAGAAAGAAAGTTTATTGTACGGTTGTCAATTTAGAAGAAATGTATGATGAAGCAAATAGATTTGAATTATGGAATGTTTTGCATGACTGAATATAATAAGAATGTTGCATGATAGAAGTAAAGTATGTGTAAGAATTAAATTGAATGCACAGTAAATGGTTCAATGCTGTACAGGCAGTAAGACAAGAATGTGTGATGTCTCCTTCATTTTTTATTGTAGTTATAGATAAAAGTATAAGAAATGCTTGTAGCAATGGTAGATGTGTGTTGATTGGAGACATAAATCCACATGTATTTTCATGAAGCTGTGTTATATACTGAGATTGAATGATTTACAGTGAATGTGAGATTGCATGATGAACTGAGGAGTGAAAAATAAGGTATTAAAATAGCTACATTTGAGAGAGAAGATGGAGCAAACAACTGTGTTGTATATAAATAGTGAAAAGTTAGGCTAGAATTAATTTGTGTATCTTGGTGCAAATGCTGGTAGAAAGGTAATGTGTGATATGTTGCAGGAAATGAATGTTTGTCAAAAGAAGCAAAAATAGCCATGTATAAAAGGATGCTTCTGCCCACTTTATTATATAGAAGTGAGAGTTAATTATGTTAGAAGGAACATAAAATCTGTTTTAAAAAAGAGCCAGAGTCAGATATGAATGGGCGCTGAATAAAAGAACTGAGTACAAAAGTGAATGACCAGTACAAAGAATAGTATTGAGGTGGTTTTATTATATAGAGACAAGGAATGAGAATCCACTTGGAAAACAGATATAAGAAGGAAGAATGAATTGATTGAGAGGGAGGGCAAGTTCAAGAAAGTTGTGACTGGATGAAGTCAGTGAGATACTCAAAAATAGATGAAAAATGAAAACCAAAACAAAAGGCCATGTATGAAGTTGTGAATGAAAGTGGTGGATGATTTCCAAGGAAAGATTGTGGTGGGGATGTATAGGTGAATGGTGTTGGTATAAAGTGATTTTAGCTATGATCCTTTTCTTTTTCTTCCCTCTGTCCTTCTATATATATTTGGCTTCATATTTCTTACTCCTTTACTGGGCTCTTCCTAACATTGCTTACCCTAAAAGGTAATAGTGTGATGAGTATGTATCTACATATGCATATATGTACAGGCTAGTGGGACCTTATTGCCTTTACACTTACAGTACCTCTGTCCATTCTGTTGTGAGTTAAAGAATGAAGAGAATCTCATTCCTGTTCTCCTTAAGCATGGAGAATGGTCTTTGCAAAGGAAGGAGGGGACTGATGGACCCTTTCCTTTATCTCTGCAGAAGGATGACCTCTCTTGTTCACACAAATGAGGGCTGGAGTAATCACTCCTAGTTTGCATCTCAACAGAGGGATTGTTTGTTTATTATATTTATATACTACCACAGTCAGAAACTGACTCCCAGATGGTAGATGAGAGAGGGGGTTCCCTTTCTTAGTATCCCATCTATGATGTCATTCAGCCTGTTTCTGGACAGGATACAGGCCTCCAATTCTAGTATAGACAACACTAAGCTAAATGGACCAAAGATCTGACTTGGAATAAAGCAGTTTTCTGTCCCCCAATTTTTATTTTTTTTTTTGTGCTACTAATTCAATCTCAGTTGTTTTTAATCAGTTAAAATATTAGGTTTTCTCAAATTTTGATGCTAATGTTTTTAAATGGGAGTTTGTATTTTTTTAACCCTTGATTATTGAGGTTCTTTTGTACCTAGTTTTAAATTATAAGGGAATTGGTCCTGAGAGATAGAAATGAACTCATCTAAATTCATAAACAGAACAAAATGCCATAAAAATGCATAGATAATATCATAAGAGAAAAGCCCAAGGGAACCTGTTACTGAGGGATACCTCCAGCTGATACTACATTTCCAGAAGTGCACTGCGCACCTTTGGCTGAGCAAATTTGTTAGCTATGAATGTACTTCTAGCATTATGTGTCATGCCAGTATGTTGCTTCTGGAAAAGGTACAATATGTCCCTTAGCATAAGACAGGGGTTTATTGATAACATATTGATTTTATCTAGTTCATCTAGTTGTCTGTTCAGTTGATTTATGGTCTGTTGGGAAAATAAACGTTTTCTTTAAGATTGAGCTACAAACATAGGAGCTGCAAACATTGTATCTTTAAATGTTAGAAATCAGTTCTGCTGTTGTCTTGGTTTCCATCCCATCTTTTCCCCTCCAAAGGTATCTGGTGCAAGCCATGATATCATGTTCATAATGATGTATGACACATGATGCAACTGATGCAAATTACATAGTTTGTTTCATTTGTACCATGATGTCATGATGCATGTGGCATCACACACACACACACACACAGGCTCTGTGGATGCCGATTTTCCTTCCCTATTTAACTTACATTCTCTAGACTTCAGAAGAATTAAATGATCCAAATATAACTTTCACTGAGGCAGAGTATTTAAAGTATGATGATCACTCCATGGCCCTGAGATGTTGCTGAACTGAAAATCTCAGCATTCTCAATGAGCAGAACCAAATGTGAGGAATTGTGTCAGTTGTAATTCCCTTTTATCAGAGCAGTAAGTTCCTTACCTCAACATCAGAGGAACACCTTCTCCTTCTTGCCCAAATAAAGAAGACAAAGGTGGTTAATATTTTTTTTATAAAATGCTCATGTATTTGTTTATAGCAACAGATGCAAATTTAAACATAATTACTATAATTTAAATAGAAACAGAACAGAAATCATAATGGGGAAGAGTAGCTGGAGAAAATATGTGTGTGCTCAGTCTGCTTTTGATGGATGGATTCATGATTCCCTTTCTAAACTTTCCATCCAAGCATTTCTAAAACGGATACCCTTCAAACAGAATGTCTTCCAATAAAGGCCTGCTCCTTGATAGCTCCTCCAGCAAAGCAGGAAGGCCCAGAGCTCTCTTAGACTTCATGGCTAAATTTTGATTTCCTGCCATGTGATAAGAGATGAGCATAGAAATAGAATTGTAAACATGAAAATGAAAGAAAAATCTAAGCTGTTCCACAATAACCTAGAAAAAAACTCTAGAATATCACTGTTCGTTTGTCGGATTTATAAAGCCACCTGACTCCATACAACTTGGGGGAACATTGTGACAGAAAAGACCCACAATCCCACTTACATGCATGGCATGGCCTCCATTCATACTTGCATCTTTACCACCTTACTCATCTCTCATCCTTCCAGTAAACCATTCAGTATGGCCACCAAAAGATTGGCTACCTCTGAGAACCAGGATACACCACTAAAAAATAGGATACTTGACTGCTTAGTTCTCCTAGATAAGCCTTATTGTGGTAACACTTATTGAAATCTTCCGGACAGGGTCTCCTCCCTGTCCTGTCCTGTCAATACTTGATTTATGCTTCGTTGGAAAACCAAAGAGAGGCTTCTCCATGGCTACGCAATGGCTTGCTCATTCTTTGAGGGCCTTCTCTGTGATGCAATATATTTATTATTTATGTTATTATTTGTATGATAGTTTACTAAAGTTTAAATGATCTAATAAAATTAGCCCATAGAAAATTTTTAAACTGTTGAAAAATGATGGCTGGTGTGGGTCTTCTG